GGTGAGGAGCAACTGGATAAATATAATCCTTGCACTCTATGTTGACTGTATTCTATTATCCTTGATAGCAATGTAACAGTCTCTGAATGCCATCTTCTGGGAAACTAGCCATTTCCTTCCGCAATTGGTTGGTCACTGTGAAAACGGACTGGTGGATTAGGTGGGCTGGAAGTCTGATCAGGCAAAGGCACTACATATGTTCTTAACTATGCATACAGATAGCATCAAATCAACAATCCTGATACTACTCTAATCGTAAATACTTGATTATTTTTAACAAAGTATTTTGCCCCTAAAATATGCTTCAATCTTTAAAGCTCTAAGTACCTTTATTCTGAATAGTTTTTATCCCAGAGCTATAATTGCACTCAACAATGAACTAAAGGGCCACCATCAGTGAGCTGTTGGACAGCATTACTTGGTCTGTTGTGTGGATGTTTGGGTGGTTTAGGGGGGGGGAATTTGTGGTGGGTGGGAGTGTGTTTGGGGATTGTTATGTGTGTTAGATTTGGGTGTTAAGTGAATTTTGTTGTATGGGTATACTGTGTATATGCGTACAATGACAATAAAGTTATTATTATTAATCTTATCCTTCTACTCTTCCTATTATCTTTCTTTCCAGAATTTGTAGCTAGCAAGCAGAGTTCTCTACTAAAATAACTCCATCTTCAAATAATACTTTAAGCCTTAATATTGCCTTCATTTCTCTGCAGTTTTCTGGTCAAGATTTTCACAAGTGGTTTGCCCTTGCCTTCTTCCTATGGATGAGAAAGTGACTGGCTCAAGGTCTGATTTTATGCCCAAGGCAGAACTATAATTTGCCATCCCCTAGTTTTTACTCTGGTGCCTTAACACTGCATCAAACTAACTCTTATGGACACAGAAAACTGGAAAGGAAAATTTATGTGTCACAAGCAGATCAATAAAACTGCAGCTGATTATATTTTAACATACTGCCATTCCCTGCAAGGAAGAACCAGTTCTGTCAATTCCAGTTGAACTTTGATAAATCAAATACAACACAAGATTTATGAGACACAATGTTAAAAATCAATTTTAAATATTTTTTTAATGTCTCATGAACGTACATTGAAATTACATGATTCCTTAGAGAAATCAGATGTAAAATCTCTGTTCAGAACTGTCTATTTATTTCCCATAGAATAGTTCAGCTCACTGTCAGATTAAATGCATTTTCCTACTCACTGTCAAGAGGAGAGATGCTCAGAATGCAGACAGCATCTTTCTCAACTCCCCCTGAATCATTGGCTGTTGACTGACATAAATTAGCAGGGAGCACAAGGCAGTCCTTCATATCACTGTCAAGAGCAGCTGTAAAACATGTTGCCGGCCTTCAAAGCCCACCCACTAATTATCTGTTTTGTGGTCTTTGAAACACTGTTTGGGTATGTGGCCACTGCATCACTCAGCCTATCAGTGGTGTAGAAAAAAAAATTCTATGTGTGCACAGAATATCAACTTTTTAAAAAAACCAATTAAATGAACCACCAAGACAAAAACTAACAAATTAGAAATCAGATGATAAACAAAAAAGTAAAAAAAATACAGACTCAGAAAAAAATACAAAACCTTTGCACAGACAAGGATAACTTGGTAGAATGAAGATTCATTTAGCTGGAAAACAGTGTATTTGAATTAATCTAATTGTGGGTATTTTCATAGCAATTTGGGCTTGTGTGAACTTTTTAACCAAAGCAATTCCTCAAATTTTTAAGCACCACTGAACCACAGAAGCTGTTTAGTTTCCTAGTGATTTGCAATAGTGAACTTAGCTGTTTACAAAACCTGATTTAATTTGTCATGTTGCTTCGGTTTAGGAAAAACTGTACATTCATGAGACATTAAAAAAGGCAAGATTCCTGAACAAAAATTGGTGGATGTTTTTCCCAATTTCTATAAAAAATATTCAAAAGTTTTGCATTTTCTTTTTCTTTGTAGTTTTGTTTAATTAAAGAAATAAAATTATATTTTATATTGTAAAATTACCAATTATTGTAATATATACCAGTCTACTTATAAACATAGCAATAATAATTATCTAATATAACTTCAGCAGGTAAATTCATTCTTCCAACAATTTAATGTGTGTGTGTGTGTGTGTGTGTGTGTGTGTAAACAATTGCACAAGCCAACTGAGCTTTTTCTCATCCTAACCATAACTACTTCAAATAGAATAAGTGGAAATGGTCACCCTTGAGAATGAATAAAGAAATCCATTAAGGAAGGATACAGTTCTGCCTTCTATTTCAAGAACAGAAAAGAGTGCTGGAAAAAGCATGGTGAACAAGTAAGAGGCTGGGTATAATTTGTATTTCCCTCAAACTGTGGTTAGCCAGATGCTTTGAAGGAGCACTAAAGAAGCACCTTAGAAGACAAACATATTATTTGGTACCATTCCTCAACATTTTCTTAAAACCTTTCCCAACCAATTTGCACACATTTCTACAGATTTACAGAGACTGGAAAATCTGAAGAGATGAACAATTTAAAGAAGTAAATAGCTTTAAAATATGTCAATTCAGACAAAAAATTATATTCCTACTATCCTGGATATTTTTTCTCAATTTCTTTTTCTAAAACTCTTATTTCTAAATAAGTAAAATATTACTTAGAAAAATTGCACAAGACATGTTTAAAGGTTCAGAAGATTTGACTGAAATGCAATGCAAAACAAGTTTTCCCTCTTTTTATTCAAACTAATGATAAAACATAGCACAAGTACAACTAATTGAGGCAGCGATATGAGCTCTACAGTAGAACATAAAAATACCAGTCTTAGGTGGTGTTTTGCATCAGCTTTATTAGCAAAAGGCACACAATCTGAAGTGAAATATTTAAGGAAGTTGGTTTATACCTTTGTGACTGATTGGCAACAAACTGTGAAAATCTCTCCAGACTTAGCATGCGTCCCCCTCTCCAATATTTTTTTCGAATATTTTTTTCTAAACTCCAGTTTTCAGCTCTAGTCAATGTGCAAATTATACAAATTTGCCATATATTTGCTCTCTTTTAGTTCTGCACTTACCTTCTCTTCTTAATTCTAGAATCAAGGAAGTGTTTATAGGCATTGGTGGCAAGATTTCCTCTTTTTCTGATTTAATGATATGGACTGAAAACAGACCTTGATCTAGCATGTAATCCTATGACAAAAACACTTATCTGTTTTCTTACTTCATCTTCAAACACACCTCAAGGCTCCTTTGCAATGAATAGATAAGGCCCCATGCCAGTTCTCTTATTCTTTAGCGCTCTTTCCCCAGACTGTGTCCTTGAATGCTTATGGATTTTGTATAAATTGTGGACAAATGAGATTCAGCACTGCAATACTGTGTATTCCATTTTAAATTACTAGATTCCCTTCTGGATTAAAACCAACAACAACTACAATCGTCTAATTCAAAGTTAGTCATTGCAGCTGCTAGTCATACATTTCTAAGCTTCTTCTGATAATCAAGCTGTTTTCAAGAGTTTCCCCTTTGCTGCCTTCAGCCCTCTTTCTCCTGTGAAAACTATTTTCTATTAAAATTTAAACTAACACCTACTTTCAACTTCTTATCAGCAAAAAGAATACAAAACCACTTTGTTTGCACAGATACACTGACAGCCAGTTAATCTCACAGTTGATCCATATGTTTCAGGGTGACATGGAGAAGGACTCACCTCGGATATCCCCAAGGTTGTATACAAATTCTTTTTTAAAAACCAGTGGAAATCTGGGGCCTGATCTATGAGAATCTCATCCCCGCCTAACTGAACAGTTTAAGCCATTCATTCGGCAACAACATTTGCTATGATTGTGCACAAGAGAACTGCTTCTGAATGCCTTGTGGAATGACTGCAAATCACAAGGATACACTTATTTTCTTTTGCTGACCTTAGCATTGGACTAGCTATATATAATGCAATTCGATAAAATAGAAGAGGGATCAAAGGAATTCTTTCCATGGGTGCCTTGTCTTGTTTTCCCTTGATATACTGATATGTATTTTGGGCAGGACTGACAGTTTCTCCATAATTGACCAATCTGTTTCTAAACCTCATTTAAATCAAAAGTGTAAGTTGATCCCCTTCCTTTTCCCAAAGTTTTCTTCAGCCTTAGGGTAAGCAGTGCCCATTGGCAATATAATCTAATATATAAATGAATATGAATTCTCACTGAAAATACATGGAAAGGCATGCCAGAGCTAGCCATTTCTTCTCCTAGTGTGCATATGGACTGGTTCCTTAGAATAGAGGCCTGTTAATAGTTCCATGGAAGAGACGGCTGGATTTTTTTCTCTGTAAGGTTGTCCTATCTTATTCAGAAGGCCATCAAAAATATTCCTGCCAAGTGCTATAGGTTATCTGATCAAAGGCTGTGGACAGGATTGTTATAATAAGAGCTGTGGGAGTGCAGTGGTTAGAATGCAGTACTGCAGGCTAACTCACTGCTCACTGCCAGGTGTTTGATCCTAACCGGCTCAAGACTGACTCAAGAAAGCCTCATTTGTGTGCTTTCAACAAACAGCAAGAACATGGGAGAAACTTAAGGTACTGCAGTAACTCTTGCAACTATACATTAATTGTATCTGATCATTTTAAATACCAACCTATATTTTAGATGGGATCCCTATTCCTGTGGGGTCCCTTTGCTCCAGTCTCCTCCCATAAAAGACTCCGTTTAAATCATGATTTTCACTTCCACATGGTGGCGCAGTGGTTAGAGTGCAGTACTGCAGGTTACTTCTGCTGACTGCTGATTGCCAGCAGTTTGGCAGCTCAAGGTTAACTCAGCCTTCTGAGGTCGGTAAAATGAGGACCCAGATTGTTGTTGGCAATATGCTGACTTTGTAAACTGCTTAGAGAGGGCTGTAAAGCACTATGAAGAGGTATATCAGTCTAAATGCTATTGCTATATATCAGTCTCAAATTTTGCTGCACTCATAATAAAAACTAGATAGCACTCATTCATTTGGACACAGGTTAAACCAAAATTGTACCTTGATTTTCATCCAGCTTTCCAATTGTCTCGATCTGCTCCACCAAGTCATTGGAATTCCACTGACTCATCCCCAGAAGGATGGCATTCTTCCCTTCGGCCACCTCCTCTGCAAAAGAGAAAAAAAACAACCATGTAATTTCAGTGATGGCCTAGAAAGCAGAGGCAGGATTACTTCATTGACAATCAACAGGAAGCAAAATCAGCCTAAGTGGAAAATACCCAGGTTTTCCAGAGAGCTTTGCAAGGACATATTCCCCATATAATAAGCCTGCCTGTAGAAATAAAGGCGGCCTAGAATTTGAATCATCTCTTTTATTTCCAGTAGTTATCAGTATATCAAATTCTAGGCAGAGCACAATGATAAAACTTAAAGGGTAGATATCCCAAATGAATAGTGAACATTGGGTGCCATTTTTGAATGACACAACACCATCCTTACTGATCTCCTGATACTAAAAGTATAACCCTAGCTGTTGCCAGCAATTGCTTCCCACTCACAATATGACCTCATATATTATTTATCATACCTCCTTTTCTTACCTAGACTTGGCTGTCCCCCACTTCAGTGGGAGAGGCTGGGCTAAGTACAGTTGCCATCTAGCTTAACTAATGACCTACTCAGGGGACTGGACTGCATAGCAGCCTTCAGCAACTAAGACTCATTAGCACTTGTTGTGTGCTTATAGAAGGCAGAGGTAAATTGTCTATCCCTAAAGGGTTTGGATTATTGATGCAATGACTCCAAACAGGGAAACAATTTAATAAAGCAAGTTCAAATGCTTATAAGGAGTTCAGTTGCTACAAAATGTAGAGAGAGTTCAATGGCTACTACCTGGGAAATAGGAATTCCCACATATGTACACTTTAAACAGGAAGGTATTGAATTTAGGCAAATGGATGGCATGGGCTACATGTCCCACTATCTTCAGGACAAACCCATGAATGTAGCCTACGTTGTAAGATAAGAAGTAGAGATCTGGATAATGATGAGAGAAGAGAAGAATAATCTCGATTGAGTTGTCTAGAGTAGACCATATATAATGGAACCTTTACATGTTAATCATTTGAGTTGAGCACAAAAAAAGTGAAACAAATTTATAGTCAACAAAACAGTTGTGAGATAGTCAGGTATATGTGCCTAGACAGTATCCTGTAATTATTTGCATTTGTGGAAATTTTTGGAAGCTTGTTCGGACAAGGCCATTTTTACAAGCTGTAGTATGATTATAGTACAATAATTTAGTGGTTGGACTAGAAAACCTCCAAGGCTCTTTCCAACTCTATTATTCTATGTTCTACTCTGCAAACAATTAAGGCATAGATGGAGGTAAGATCTGGATTTATTAGTTATTAATAGAGGCCCAACAAAAGCTGGAAAAAGCTTTGTTTTTACCGTCTTTGTCATCCAGGAGAACCAATCTGCATTCCCACATTGTTAACATAAACTTCCAATAGGACTGCAGCCTCATCCATGACAGGCTGCATAATTATACCTGAGTCAAATTACTCATCCATCAAAAGTTTTTTTTTTTTGTTTGTTTGGATTAAGCTGCAGTTTATTTTTTCCCATTAAACCTGTCACAGGTGATAAATAGTGGTTGACTACTTCTACTGCTCCCTGAAATCAGGTAGAAGCTTGAACATTTTTGCTGACAAAGATGCGAACTATCCAGAGCAAATCATCTGATCTGCAACTAAATATGGTACCCATTTCAAACGTGGAACCTAATTTTGTTCCAACTTAGGAATTCCAACTTCGTGAGACCTGACTACAAGGCTGCCCTCCTTTAAATCCTCAACAGGATTTGTAAAGCACGGTGTAGAGAGGAACCTGTAAGGCTCCCTTCTTTTCTTTTAGAATAACCAAGGGAAGAAAAATTCTGCAATGAAGGTATTTACATCGAGTTCCTAAACAAAGCCTTTCCGTTTATCAAGCACACTGCCATTCGTTGTGTATAAAATATATCAAACTGAAATCAAATCAAGGGGAGCCATCTGCTGTCGATTCATTCATTCACTGAGGAAACATATTCATAAAATTCCTGTGTTCCATGTTTCAATAATTTACAATTTACTGGGATTGATTCTCCCTTCCAGGCAGGGGTGGGCTTCAAAAAGTTTAGCAAGGGGTTCTCTGCCCGGTTGCTGGGTGGGCGTGGCCACAGTGGACATGGCCTAGTCGGCCTCCTGCTCCATGGCGGGGGGGTGGGTTTACCCTCCCCAGGCTCTGGAAGCTTTCCTCGAGCCTCTGGGAGGGCAAAAAAGGCCTCCCCAGGCTCCGGAGGCCCTTTGGAGGCTGGAAACGGGCCCATTTCTGGCCTTCCCAAACTTCCGGTAGGCTCGGTTTTTTTGCCCTCCCCGAGCCTCCGCATGCGCCCTGCACTTACCTGCATCCAAAACAGGCCAAATGGGGACTCCTGGGAGGGGAGTAGTGGGCGGAGCCAGCCAGGAATGGGATTTGGGGGTTCTCCGAACTGCACAGAATCTTAGCTAGAGGTTCTCCTGAACCCCTGCGAACCTCCAGCAGCCCACCCCTGCTTCCAGGCATTTCATCACCATATGAACAGCCCTGAAGATCAGGTCAAGATACATCCTCTTGGAGTAATCAACTGGGTGCCCTTCAGATAGTTTCAATTCCTATAAACCTCAGTCTGTATGATCAGTAGACAGCAATTAAAGGGATTGTTGTCAAAATATATGTAGGATACCAATTTGTCCAATTCCCTTTAAACCAGAATCTCTCTTCTCACAAGGGTTAAGTAGATGGTTCTAAAAATCTCAGAAGTCTCCTGAAAATCTCATATCTGTCTCAGACTTTGGGAGTACCATAGGATCATTACAACCGATAACCACTGATGGACAAATTTATTGAAAGAGACTTACCATGAAAGCAATTGTCTGTCTTCAACTGTGCTCCAGTAAACTCCATAAACTGATTTACAAATTGCATAAAATTGTGCACTGTGTTTTTGCTGTCTTAAATTTCATACCTTATATTCTTGATATACTCAAAATCTATGCATATACTGACATCAGTATTAAAAAAAAATACAGTCATATGTAACTACTGTTTTGGCAAGATCAGGGCATTTTGTAAAGATAATTTAACTCTAGCTTCACTGTACCCATGAACCATAAGTGCTCAATTCTGCAAAGATCCTTTGCCACCAGATATCCTTTTGAAATTGGTACAAAATATGAAACCGCAATAGCTTTGATTTTTAAGTGTCAACATTAGGAAATTTATTTTTAAAAGTATATACTTTTTAAATAAAAGAAGCAATACGATCTGTATTAAGAACATTTGCAGACAATGTAGTGTATGCCAGTTGTTATCAAGATATGATGAAACCGCAAAACTAATTTAGAAGATGTGCATTTACTACATACATATCTATTACACTATTCCCTTTGGGGGAAAACAATATTATCCACATAAAAAGGAGTAAAAAACACTGAGACAAAGAAATTAGGGATGAGAGAAGAAAAAGAAAAGGAAACATGAGAAAACTAGTTCACATCAACATTATTCTACTGTACACTGCAACACATCTTTTTATCTTTGCAAATCATCCTACTACTCCCCATGCCCATGTACCACTTCATATACTGTTCTTAACATTTTTTTCAAAATCATGTCAATTTCATCAATTATTTTCTCTACCTATCCTCTCCTGTAAATCCATTCATTTTTCTTTCATATATTTGTTTTGTAATTTGATCGTCATACATTCTCTATCACAATTTACTTCTCTTTCATATTCAATCCACTTTCATTCTTGTCCTAGAGTTTCTTTTGTTTAATAAATAGAAAATCTTGCTTTTTACTATAGAATTTTCTTAAGTACTACATTCAATTTACTCATTTTATATATGCATTTTCTGCAGACAAATAGCAGTGATATGTTCTACAGGTTGTTTTTAAATCTGCCAGGCTGGAATCCCACCTAATAATGTAGGCACTAAGATAAACTGGATTTTTTTTTAAAAAAAAAAATCATGCATGTTTACTCAAAAATTGACATTTGTACTTTAAGAGAAGCTCCTGCTTGTTCCTGTGGCAGCTTCCTTTAAAGTTCACATTATAATTTTCAAGAAGTACATTTATCAGGAGGAAAAAGAAGGCTTCTTATTGTGTCTTCTCTATTGAAGATTTTAATCTAATGCTGTAGGTGTTCTCTGCTTGTACATTTTGTTTTTTTTTCTATTTTTTTTATTAACGATAAACAAACATACATATACAAACATACATACATAAAAACAAACTATACATAAACAAACTGTACACTAAAATCAAGTCATGCAATTTGAGCACTGTGAATGGAGCTACATCGGTAATTTGTATATCCATATATCTATATCTATCTATCTATATATATATCCTTCCTTATATAACGATATTGTGCTTGTGCATTTTGTTTCTGCTCTGTGTGTTGCAGATTTAATGCTCTAGATTCTCATTGATTTAATGCTCTAATAGATAGTACATATATATTAGAGCATTAAATCATTGAGAATCTAGACCAACCCAGGTTTTACTAATACTGTTTTTTTAATAAGAGTCTTTGAATATAACAATATTGACTTTGGTCCTGTCACTACGTACCTGTGGTTGCTATGGAGAATTTGCGTCTCTGTTAAAACATATGTCTGAGGACACATACCATTCATGCTTTAAATGACAGATCTAGCTGAGCAACCCCAAAAATAGCAGCTGCCCATTTTTTCAGCAGTGGTATCAAAGAAGAGAACAGTGATCAGAAAAGTCACAAAAAGATGTTTATTTAAAAAAAGAAAAATGGAAAAGCTTTAGCAGATCATTTTTCCACTCCCACTTCCAAAGAGTAAAGACAGTGTGCCAATATATTTCAGGTTGAAACTAGATCTATATTATTATCTGTCATGCAGGGGTGAAATGTAAAATTTGTTACTACTGGTTCTGTGGGCGTGGCTTGGGGGGGTAATGTGACTGGGTGGGTGTGGCCAACTTTTTTTTTTTTAACTTTTCAAAGCATTTTTTCTAATGCTTTGAAAAGCCTCTGCCGATCAGGCAACTCAGCTGGGATCGTCAGAGAGTCTTTTTAAAAAATGCTTTGAAAAGCCTCTCTGACATCAGGCAACTCAGCTGGGATGATCAGAAACTTTTCAAAGCATTTTTTTTACCACCTCTTCGGCCAAGAGGTTGCAGGAAAAATGCTTTGAAAAGTCTCTGATGATCCCAGCTGAGCCACACAATAATCAGAAACGTGTTTTTTTTTTACTTTTAAAAGCATTTTTTCGTCGGAAGAGGTTGTAGAAAAAATGCTTTTAAAAGTAAAAAACAAAAAAAAAGCCTCTGATGATCGTGCGGCTCAGCTGGGCATGGTGGGGGGGGTGCACGCAGGGATTTTTGCTACCGGTTCTCTGAACCACCTGCTGCCATCGCTACCGGATTGGGCGATCCGGTCCAAACCGGGAGCATTTCACCCCTGCTGTCATCAATATTTGCAGCATATCAATCAGAACAGAATTGGAAGGGACCTTATAGGTCTTCTACTCCAACCCCTTGCTCAAGCAAGAGACCTATACCATTTCAGACAGGTGGCTGTCCAGTTTTTCCTTAAAAACTTCCAGTGATGAAGCACCCACAACTTCTGAAGGCAAGCTGTTCCACTGGTTAATGGCCCTCACTGTTGGGAAGTTTCTCCTTAATTCCAGGTTGCTTCTCTCCTAGATTAGTTTTCATTAATTGCTTCTCATCACTCCCATCACCCATCCCCTCCCACTTATGACTGTATGTTTGTAACTTTGATGTTATATTTATTTATTTATTTATTTATTGGTTCAATTTATATGCTGTCCTTCTCCAGAGACTCAGGGCGGCTTACAATGTGTTAAGCAATAGCCTTCATACTTTTGTATATACCTGCTTAGTAGGGCTTTCGGGACACCCCCCCCAAAGCGGTGTTCTTTTTTATACAAAGTCAGCTTATTGCCCCCACAAATCGGGTCCTCATTTTACCTACCTCGAAAGGATGGAAGGCTGAGTCAACCTTAAACCTGGTGAGATTTTAACTTGCAATAATTGCAGGCAGCTGGTGTTACTTAACAGTGCTTTAGTCTGCTGCGCCACCAAGGCTCATATATGTTGATGGCAACAAGATTATTTTATGCACAAAAATGGAAGGATACTTTACTCCCTACAAATGGATGAATGGTTGCAAAAGCTGATGGAATTAGCAGAGATGGCTCAATTGACTGCATTGATAAAAGAAAAAAACACAAGTGCTTTTGTTTCTACTTGGAAACTGCTTCCGAATTTTGTGCTGGAGATGTAGAAAAAATGAAATTTCGATTTTGGGTTTTACTGATTAAATAGATTGGTTATTATAGAAATGGCTAGTTTATACTATTATGTAAAAGTAAAAAGTTGAGGTTTGATGTTCTTTCTTATTCTACTGCACCAAAGGGAGTCGGAAGTCAATGCCTTTTCTTTCTTTTTCTCTTCTTCTCTTCACTTTTCTCTTCCCTTTTCCCTCCCCTACTTTTCCTATTATTTGCTTTTGTATTTTCTTTTTATATTATAACCAATAAAAATAAAATAAATACAAGAAATCTAAAAAGAAAAAAGTTTGAAAACAAGCAAACAAATGTCACCCTAGTCCTTCATTTCTCTAGAATGGCCATACTCAATTCCTGCAACACTTCTTCATATGTTTTTGTCTTTAATCATCCTAGTTTTTCTTCTCTGCACTATTTCCAAAGTCTCAACATCTTTTTTGTAATGTGGTGACCAAAACTGGATGCAGTATTCCAGGTGTGGTCTTACTAAAGATTTATAAAGCGGTACTAATACTTTACGTGATTTTGATTCTATGCCTCTGTTTGGATTGTATTAGCTTTTTTGGCTGCTGCCACATGCTGCTGGCTTATGATTTTAGTTTATTGTGAGCTTTTCATCTCTGCAATGGTCCACTAAAGCCCATAGATTCTCTAAGGCCAGCCTCAATTAAGGAGAGTTAAATTTAGAGGATCCAAAATTAATCAGAATGATTAAGTGGACCTAAGTTTAATTGGACCATGCCATTTGCATGCAGGAAGTCAGGAAATAAATAGGTCCTAAAGCAGATAAATGAAAAAAAACAATCCATAAAAGTTGTTTTGGCTGCAGATATCGATTGTCTTTGGGTACAGTTTGCTGTTATAAAGTTTGCTATTATAAAGGTTCCAAAATGAGTTCCAAGTCACAATATTTGAGCAAGCAATTAATTTGGCAATTTCTAAGATCTGGAGACAAATCTGAGGGGGAAAAAACTCATTTTTTCCCGTGCCATGCCTTCACTAAGATCATTCGTAGTCCAACCAAACCAAAATGCTACCTCCATTCACACACAGTTGATCATACAGTAATAAATTCCCTCACAAATCCCACTTAAATTAATGCAAGCAGCAGAAAAGTTAATTTAAAGAGATATACACAAAACCTTTGATAAATGATGTAACCCGACATTGTGCGTCATCCCAAAGCCTTCCAAAATACTAGGTTTTAAGCAGAAGGACCTTTTACATATATGGCAGAAAATTGAAGTAAAACAATTTGTTAAATGTCCAAAAAAGCCTTCTTCTAACAAAGCAGTGGCATACTTTTTGAGTAAGTTGAGAAGTTCCAGAGCAGGACTTTGATCTAAGAGCTTATGCCTGCTTTGAAAAGGGCATTTTTGTTTCTCTGTCAAGCAAAAACAAAATTGCAGAGAAGGATGGATTGTAATTTTCTCCTCACTTTATTTTTAGCTAACCTAAACTATGGTATGTGAGCCATCCACAGAGTCCACAGTCTAGTTTTGGCACAACATCAAATCTCAGTCCCTGAGCAAATAGATCAAGAAGGGAAAGCCATAACAAGCACAAGCAAAAATGTACCCAACCTCTTTCAATAAATGTGTATATTATATGACATAAAATCTGCATTATCTTGCTCTTAATTGGAGAAACATATCCAGCATATTTTAACTTTAGATAGAAATATTCAGCTATTCCATGCAGATAGACAATCCTCTCCAAAATGAAAAACCCCAATTACTCAATTTCAGATCACCAGTGGCTACAGCACCTTCCTTTCCTCTTCTTAAAAAAAACAAATTAGCCATAAATTACCCTCCGTGGAGAAATTCTCCAAGTACATTACAAATTCTTTTCTGCAAAGCCGATCTACAGGAATAGTTTTCAATAAAGCCCTAAAAGGAGAATACGACTGTAGACTTTTTCATTTTAAGAAAGCTAAACATAAATGTAAATCTTACACATAAACCATGCTTGTTAAACTCCCCGAAAACCTGACAGCTCAGAACCAATGAAGAAGGATTACAAACCTCGTGCATCGAAGAATTCATCATCAGAGCTGTCCACTGAGTCGATGCCTTCCATGAGCCACTGGCAGCCAAAGTGGTGCAATCCAACTGAAAAAGGGGAGAAATGCAATATTAGCAAACAGAGGATTACAAGATGGAATCCAATCAAACATTCTGCGTATTTAAAACCTTCCATCATTCAGTCAACAATTTTAAAATATATATTATTAAGCATATGCGAGTCTACTGAAATTAGAATTTATTAAATAAATTCAAATAGATACATACATACATACCGGTATACACATTTTAAAAAACTGCTGCTGTAATCTATAATTTAATGGCGTAAAAACATGCTTCTTTCTTCTATGCAATTTTGATGCAGACATAACCAATTAATCAATGACTAGATATAACAATTTCCTAAGTAACTAAATAATCATAAGGGCCTTGGCAGTAGTCATGGGATTTTGAGGATCTCTGTGAAGCATCAAACATAGATTTTTATGTTTGGGAACTTCTTCACTGCTATTGTGTCTCTGTAATCAGAAATCCAATGACACCGGAGATAAAGGACATTAAACATCAAGAGGGATTTGGAGGGGACAAGTTAAGAGAAACTCTGAATGATCCACCCTGGAACAGGGGGAAAATGGAACTGACCTATTTTATTACCCTGCTGTTGGGAGCTACAGAAAGGAAAAGCTGTTCATTTTCCCTTGCTGGCAGAAGCCTTAGGATTTGACCCTATCAGATTGCATTTAATTCAGATGATAGCACTTAAATTGAGGGCAAGTCCAATATGCTTTAACTTTAGCCTTGGGAAATCATCATATTGGCTGACATATCTCCCTTGTTTAGATAAGGGACTGCCCAGATCACTTGCAGATTTAGGATGCCATGCTACATTACGGATTTGCTTCTCAGACACATAGCATTCTGAAGAAACCTCAAACACTGACATATTGTTCATTTTATGTCCTGTTTTTCAATTAGTTTTGTCTGCCAAAATAACTCAAGTCATAAAAAATATATAGACTGAGCTGAACCTGCCCTGAGGCTGAAAGTCAAAAAAGACAAGACACATGGGAGATGAGAAACAGTAGGAAAAGGAGTCAGATTGACTGTTCGAAAATTAAGTGGTAAGGAAAATGAAGTGGTGAAAATGACTGTTCACCAAAATGAAGTAGTAAGCGGCAAGATGGTGTTTATACAGTACATAGTTCAGTCTGGGCTGGTTTTAACTTACTGAAGCTCTTGCTTAAATAGAAAGTTGTGACAGTTGTTCCTTTGGATAATAGATGGGGCCAGATTTGCTAGGGCAGATGGATAGAGGTGCAGTGAGGCTCTCCAGTTCCAGGGCAACTGGAAACAGCGAAGTATGAAACAGATTCTTTGCATCTGCCCTTTTCTTACCACTGTAAACATGTAGACAACAACACATATGTATACCTATCCTTTGTGCCCTGATCAGTGTACACTTGGATTCATTGCAGCACAACAATACAATTAACGTTGCTAGTTTCTGGAAAGATTTGTTTGACTTGTACGTATTTTAATCTTGTATTTTATATTTTATGTTGTATAGCGTGCTTTATTTCAATTGTGATGCTTCGGATGCAAATAAACAAAAGACCACTGTAAACAAGCCAAATGTCCTTTTCCCATTATATATTTTCTGGAAAACCTGGATGCAATCTCCCAAGAGTTCTTGACCCATTGATGGATGGATGAAAATGGAGTGTGTGCTACTCTTTCTCTTCCCCATTCCAAGAAGTATACCTTTCTCAATGAAATTCAACAACAGAACATCAAAGACACTGACAGAATGGTACTGTAATACTTCAAGTAGACTGATGTGAGATGGCACTAAGGAAAGGACTTACGACATATTGTAAATCAGGGATGTCAAACTCGCGGCATCACGGCGTCACGACTTTTTCCCCCTTCGCTAAACCAAGTGTAAGCATGGCCAGTGAGTGACGTATCTGGCCTGCGGGCCATGAGTTTGACAGCCCTGTCCTGAAGTCTCTCAGCCCAAATGCTTGGGCAATGTTCTGCTGATACAAGAGGCCCAAAGCGCTGATACAAAGGGCCTTGGTAGTACAGTGGTCTAAAGCACCCTGTTATTAAGAACAGCTGCCTGCAATTACTGCAGGTTCAAATCTCGCCAAGGCTCAAGGTTGACTCAGCCTTCCATTCTTTCTAAGGTAGGTAAATTGAGGACCCAGTTGTGGGGGCAATAAGTTGACTTTGTATAAATATACAAAAGAATGAAGGCTATTGCTTAGCGCATTGTAAGCTGCCCTGAGTCTCCGGAGAAGGGCGGCATATAAATCAAATTTTTTTTTAAAAAAAGAGGAAGTTCATGGCCAAATGTATTCTTTCCTCTTCGCTTAGGTTAGGATTTTTCTTTTTCCATTTCAAAATTGCGTCAATTTGTTAAGAAATGCTATTTCCTCTTGATGTTGCCTCAAACAGCTAGCCAAGGTGACCTAACCTATGCCAACAGCCTGTGAATAAGTAGAGGAAAAGAAAGGGACCTGCCATCTTTTCTCTATACTGATGTTTTGAGCTAAACTGGGCTCTTAGATCACTCTGAACTGGTGCCTAATTTATCTCTGTTTTAGTTTTCTCAACACTTCACTTTTTCCTTTGGTGTCATATCTTTTTAGTTCTCATTTTCATTAGTCTATAATTACAGTGCAGCAACATCTATAACAAGTAACAATGACATTAAAATGGCAATATATGCATCATTATTGCATGAATTATTGGAATGACATCACGAAGTTGATATAAGTATTACGTGGTGTCATTTATGTCATGCCATTATGTATCATTTTGCCTTCTCCTTCATTGAGCCCTCAGATGCTTATACTATGGGAGCCTTTCAAACTGATGAGGACAAACTACATAATTAACAATCAAGTGTATAACAGGACAGGAGTCACACTCTGGGTGAAGATGACTTCTAAAGAGGTGTTTATATCCTGTTCAGGATATTATAGGTCACAGGCTGCTGTTGTAAGTTTATTTTAAATTTGTGTGACTCTTGTGGGCCTCTTCCTCTAATAATTAATTGTAGTTCTGTCCAAAGATCTTAACTCAATGATAAAACACATCTCTTCTTTCTAAAGATCTTAGTGATAGATGGCTTCTCAGCCAAGATAACCCTTAATAATAGATTCCAATCAGAGTGCAGAGTAGCTATTATTTTTTAAATTATATTAAGCTGATTATTCCAAAATTTTACTACACTCCCAATTGACTCATGAGTCAAACTGGGTTGACATGCTGGTAGGTTAATGCTAATCATTTGCTGTTTTCTTCTGCTTTTCATACCCAAACAATATGTTGGCATATACATGCAAATATCAATCATTCAGCCACATTTTGCTATCAACCAAATCCTCTCTATTTCACCTGCAGAATCCATTTAATATAAATACAGTAGGCTATGTTTTTATAAATTTAAGATATTCAATTAAAACTAATTAATGTTGCAGTTATGAAGCCAGTATCTTGATGGCTTTGAAGACACAGAACCTGGAAAATGCTAACAGCTTGGCTATGTTAAATAAAATCAACTTAATGCTAAGTGTTCTCAGACAAATAGTCTTTCAAATTAAACTACAAAAAGTGACAAAAACTTGCTAATTGAGCCTAGGTATTATTAAGATAAATGTTTAGGGCTTGAAGGACATTCTTTTACATGTCATCTTTACCTTAAAGGAAGCAATTTTGCAGGCTTTTATTTTCAAGCTGCAAACAGACTGTAATATCACTCAGGCAACAGTAGTGAAGAATCAATTTACTTAACACACTATTTTTTTACAAAAAATACAGTATGGACATAGCTGAAACTTACTGGGATTTAACATTTTCCTCCCTGCTTAAATCCTGAGGAAAATCTACATCTAAAAATGTTTTTTGTTTAGATTCCACTAGCCCTGATGTGACCCACCCCCAAAGCAAACACCATCTATAGAATAATTATTTCTTCAGGACATGAGCAGGGAAGAAAAAAAATAAAATCCTCCTCTATGCTTACTCAAGTCTCAATAATCATCCACAGCTGGGATTAATTGCAGTTAGGCTTCACATCTGGTTGTGAAAATGGGCTGATCAGATCCTGTTAACCTGGAATCTCCTATTTTGCTATTCTTATCCAAGCTTTCTAAACCCAGTGGTTCCATGTAATAAAATTCTCTTTTTTAAAAAAATCACAGTACTTGAGGACATACAGTTGAATAAATAACTATATGTTGCTATGCTACATAGCATACTCAGCTGTACATCTCCACCCCAGACCACCCCAACGATGCCCTTGATGTGATGTCTCGCTGCCTGGAGGCCGTGCGGGTCTGGATGGGGAGGAACAGGCTCAGACTCAACCCTTCCAAGACCGAGTGGCTGTGGCTACCGGCGTCCCGATATAGTCAGCAGGTGCCATCGCTGACTATTGGGGGTGAATCTTTGCCCCCCACGGAGAGGGCTCGCAATCTGGGTGTCCTCCTGGACGCACGGCTGTCTTTAGAAGAGCATATGACGGCCGTGGCCAGGGGGGCCTTTTATCAGGTTCGCCTGATCCTCCAGTTGCAGCCCTTTCTGGACCGGGACGCCTTGCGCACGGTCACTCATGCCCTTGTCACCTCCCGGGTGGACTATTGTAATGCTCTCTACATGGGGCTCCCCTTGAAGAGCACTCGGAGGCTCCAGCTGGTCCAGAATGCAGCCGCGCGGGTGGTTATGGGCGCACCTCGTTGTGCCCGTGTGACACCCCTCCTGCGCGAGCTGCACTGGCTCCCAGTGGTCTTCCGGGTGCGATTCAAGGTGTTGGTTACCACCTTTAAAGCGCTCCATGGCACAGGACCCGGATACCTTCGAGACCGTCTTCTGCCACCAATAGCCTCCCACCAACCAGTCCGTTCCCACAGAGAGGGTCTCCTCAGGGTGCCATCAGCCAAGTTATGTCGGCTGGCGACACCCAGGGGGAGGGCCTTCTCTGTGGGAGCCCCAACCCTGTGGAATGAACTGCCCCCGGAAATACGTAAGATCTCCGACCTCCGGGTGTTCCGCTGCGCACTGAAGACCCTGTTGTTCCG